ACCACGACAGTGGGTCGAGCTACTAAATGACTACGAATTTGAAATTCGTTATCATCTCGACAAAGCCAATATAGTAGCTGACACCCTAAGTCGGAAAGAGTACCCAGGTCATAGTGCCAATCACGGACTATGATAACCCTTTCAAATCTCTCCACACAAAGTAAGGAGGCTCAACAGGAAGCCTTGAAACCTGAAAATGTGGCAAGTAGAGAAGATAACTAGAACGTGTGAGTGTACGGTATGCCAATATCTGTTATCTCCACTGAGATAATAGAATCATCTCCCAGTTCAGGCCGTCACTCAAAAACCTCTAGGAACCAGAGTAGTCATGATTCTATGGGATCGGCTATGGTAAAGAATGGGATATCCATTTACCAATTAGTCGAGTCCTTTATCACGCTAGCATTCAAGTTGCTCCATTCGAAACCTTCTGCAGTCAAAAGTGCAGATTCTATCTGCACTGGACTAAAGTAGGTAATACGCAACTAGCTAGAGATCCAATTTCCACACAGCACCCTCGCTGATCTGGAATTCATCCGAGAAACTACCAAAAACAAAATACGAATCAGGAAGCGCCATAAAGCTTCCAAAGTTAACCAGAGAAGCTACGACTTCGATAAAAGAAAACCCTTGGAATTCCAGGATTGATGACCTTGTCATATGAAGGTCTCACTCAGGAAGGACAAGATGCGCTTGAGAAAGCGTGAAATACAAAACTCAAAGTACATAGGACCATTTGAGGTTCTTACCAGAATCGGTCTTGTACTTTTAAACTTAAACTACCACCAAAAACTTAATAACATTCATCCCATCTTTCACATATCTAATCTAAAGAGGTGTCTATCCGATAAAACACTTGTTATTTCACTCGATGAAATCAAGTTAAATAAAAGTCTACACTCTGTAGTAGAACCAATGAAAACCATGGATAGGGAAATCAAAAGAACCACGCTAAGTCTCATCCCGTTAGTGAAGGTTCGCTGGATTACAAACCAGGGACCTGAATTCACTTGGGAAAGGAAAGATTAGACCTGGTCCATGGTTATCACTTCAGACTTAATTTCGGGACGAAATTCCCTCTAACGGGGGGATAATGTGACACCAGTCAAGTTTTGGTCAAAAATAAATTGATCAATAATCGTAATTGGGATGAACCAAGTGGTAGAGTTTGTAACAAGGTTTCCAAAAACATAAAGAACACTGAAATCCGAGTTATAACAAAGAAGTTATGACCAATCGAAAATCTGCGGTAAAACCGGCAAAACACTGTTCAGTGTAAAAAAATGAATTTTCGATAAAAGGCTTTTTAGCCTTAACAATCTAAATAAAAGTTGTAGAATATGTTAAACCGAGAACGTTCATAAAAAGAACGTGAAAATCCGACTTCGTATGAGGAAGTTATGATTTTTCGAAGTTTCGGTTTAGCAGTAGACAACTAAAAATTCGAAATATAAATCGATCGATATTTAGCCGACGCAACTTAAACGAGAATCGAAGGTCTCGTCAAAAGTAGCACAACGGTAAAAAGACAGACGAAAACGGACGTCGGATGAAGAAGTTATGAAATTTTAACGGATTTCCGTCCCGGTCTGTTTAAAATAATAATATTAAAAATAAAGTCAAAACCAGACGACAAAGTCTAAACAAAAGTCGTAGGGTATGATTTTACCTACGCGTGCATATAAAGAACGTCAAAAACGGAGCTCGTATGCGAAAGTTATGAATTTTGCAAGTTTTTGGCACAAAAATCGGAGAAATTGTGGATAACCGAGAAATTTCGCAGGTCACTCTTCGGACACGTCATCATCACATGCGAACCTCCACGTGTCATCTTCTGGTTGGACCGCAATTCACGTGTCACCTACTGAGTGGACCGCAGCCGAGGTCCAATAATCCTCGGACACCTTCGCATCGGACACCCCTTCGCTTGCGTGGCCTTCTCCCATTGCACCGAAGGATGGTCAAATCCGAAGCCTCCATCTGTCCGAGGCACGTTCCTCGCACCGGGTCAGAAGCTCCACCGCCTTAACCTTCGCACGTGGGCTTCGCTCCTTCCGACGCGTGTGCTGCTGACTCACCCCTCGCCTCGCCACCTGTCCTCCTCGGCCGAACCCTCGCACCCCTATATAAAGGGTGCGAGCCTTCTCGGATGGAAGGGTTTTTCACCCCATTTTTGGCCCTTTTTCACTCCTCTCACTTCCATAACTTCACAAACAACCCCCAAGGCCCCGGTATCACGTCTAAAGCCCGAAGCAAGCCCCAGAGCCCCAGAATTCTCGAGAAGTCATCCTCTCTCCTGTCGAAATTCTGCCCGGTTTGAGCTGGTTTCTCGTTAAATAAACTCTTTACGGGAAACGAAACGCTGCCCGAATCACCGCTTATCAAAGTGAGTTCATACCCCTATAATTTACCTTTTCAATGGTTTTTAAATGCTTTTTAGGGGGGGGGGGGAATACAAGTTTAACACAATAATAAATTGTGTTAATAACTGTGTGTGTGATAATAATCACACAAAAAGTTTCCGTATGCTTTTAAGAATTACCAAATACTTCCAAAATAACGTAAAGCCATGTTAATTTCTTTGAAAAATGTTTTATAAGCTATTTCAAAATATAAATGTCAAAGTCATGTTTATATATGTATAAATATATAAATAAGACTTGAAGGGCTTAGGACTAATGAATTATCTTATATCCTTTTCCTTGTTTGGATGTGGAATTAAGGTTGTGTTATTTGTCCGAAGGTCGTTTCCTTCTTAATTATATATATATTATACATATATGAGTCTAAAAGGTTACTCCTTTTAGTATCATTACCTTTGTATCAGGCTGAGCAAAGGTGATATTCCATAAGAATTCATGCTAATCAGATAGAACATATAAATTATAATAAGTATAATTTATGATTCAAAACTAAATATACAAGTATGATTCACGACTGTATACTTCCCAAGGAAATTACCAAAATTCATTCAACTATACCAAGATATGTATAATACCTTTAATATACGAACAACATATTAAAGAAGTAAAGATATATCATACCTAGTTTGCATTAACAAAGGTACTATACAGAGTACCAGGGTTAGCAAACACGTGATAATGTCGTGTTTGCATTAGCAAAGGTACTATACGGAGTGCCCGAGTTAGCAAACACGAGGTAATAATACATCTTTGCCGAGTTTGCATTAGCAAAGGTACTATACAGAGTACCCGAGTTAGCAAACACGAGGTAATAATACATTCTGCCGGGTTTGCATTAGCAAAGGTACTATACAGAGTACCCGAGTTAGCAAACTCGAGGTAATAATACATCTTACAGGGTTTGCATTAACCAAGGGTACGATACAAAGTACCAGAGTTAGCATTCATCGGGTAATAATAATAATACATCGGAAATCTCGTTGAAACAATAAATTTGTGAGACCCTTCACGGTGTACTTATCTAAGTACGACCCTTTTAAGTCCTGAACTATTAGCCAGAATTTCTTGTAGGGAGAGCGTGAATTTGTGTATAGATCTATATGGGACAAACAATCCCGCACCTCTACTGTTCGCTACAGTTTGGCCGGCAGGCCTAGGGTGTCAAATATCATTCCAGTTCCGACGCCTGAAGAACGTCGCTGCAGGCATTTCCGTCATATTAGTATGGTTGATAGGACTCACATGGATAAAACAACGAGTGAATTACAAAGTAATATACTTCTCTTATAACAGTAAGAAAAGTTAATTACATCCGGACCAGTTATACCTTCAGTAGTTTTTACTTAAAGTAAAAGCTACGTATCATGAAACCAAGTATTGTACTTCTGGTTTTGAACATTTAAAACCACAAGGCAGTATTATGGATAATACAATACTCTCCAGGATTAATACTAAGGTTTTTACTGTAGAACAGATATAACTAAGAACCACTTTTACAAATGAAACGGTTTATGAGATTAAACCACTTTTACAAATGAAACGGTTTATGGGATTAAACCACTTATACAAAGGAAACGGTTTATGCAATTAAACCACTTATCAAATGAAACTTAGTCATTCAATCTTTGTAAACTAGTATAACATAAAAGACCTTTAGTGGTTAATTCTATAATTCCTTAGTTATTACATCAGAGTTGTACCTAAGTAATATTCGATTGACAGTGAAATGTGTGACTTCCGCCTTACTTCCTGTTCCTTGTTTGGTTGTGGTCTTAGGGCAGATACACCCATTTGACTGTCCATTCGATATTGGGTTATGTATAATCAGTATAAACTAAGTAATTACAGAGGGAAACTATTGAGGTTATCAGTTAATCACCTCAGGAAATATAGGATTTCCTGGAGAAACCAGTGAACTTATTCAAAGAACTTAGGGTATACTTAACAGAACTAAAATACTTATAAACTCACCAGCTTAAATGCTGATCTACTCTTTCCAAATAACTTGTATTCTCAGGAATCCAGTAGACAGGTACACTCCCGAAGCTTTTTGAGAAGACTACCAGTAGACAGCTTAAAAACCTACGACCTCACTGTCGGCTGTTTTCGATTGTAATTGATCGTCTGTCTTTCTTCTGCAGCCAACGAACTCATTTTCCACAGCAAAGGTTTTCCCAATCCGCAATGATTTTTTTTTAATATTTTATTTTTGTGTTTTTACTATTTTACCTATGCCACGTTAGTTTCTCAGAGCTTATACGCTTCCGCAAAGCCAAAAAGATCTCCTCCGAGACTCTCTCTAAGGAAAGCTTTGTCATTTCATGAAACTTCAATTGGTCATATTTTTCAAACACATCCTATTTTTTAGTTATTTCATATTGTTTAGAATGAAATTAAATAAAAATGATTATTTATTTGAGAGTTATTAGAGAAAACGAATGAAAGAAGGCTTTCTCAATCAATTCCTTATTTTTTTACAAAATTGGCTTTATATCTTTTTTCTTTAATTTATTTAAAAAAACATATTTCATTTATCTCAACTTAGAGTCGTATTTTGATGAATCTATCTATGATTGCATGCAGAAAGTATATGATCATGATACGTTTACATTGGATGACAAAATGGGATATGCGGAAATTGACGTGAAACCGATTTTGGAGGCACTAAATATGACAAAGGAAAACCATCACCCGAGTGGCACTGTTTTAACTACAATACAACCCATTCGAACAAATTTCTTGGCTGAAGAAAGCAATATAATGTGGGAAAACAACAAAATCTTTCAAGAAATGTGTCTCAGATTGCGAATGGTGGAACGTGGTTTAGTTGAACTCGAAGTGACTTGGATTAATAATCCGGATCCTGGTAGTAACACTTAGCCATTATTTTTGTTTTATCTATAAAAGAATATTTAAGGAAATGATGATATACTTGGGAAATAGAAGGACAAAAAAATAAATGAGACAGTTTTGTAGAAAGTTAAGAATAATAAAAGTTTTTTTTTCATTAAATCAAAACAAAACACTCACTAATGTGAGCTATGCAACACTATTTGTTGGTTCCATTTCACTATTTATTTGAACGCATATATTATTTTATTGAGCCTAGATCATCCATCATCATAATAGAAATTTTTTGGAACTTTTTCAAATAAAAAGCTCTTAAGGTCATGTTTGGCATACCAGTTAAAAAACTAGTTGTTAGTTGAAAAGCTAACTGTTAAATAAAAAACTAATATATAGCTGAAAAACTAGCTAATAAAAAAGAACGTTTAATAAAAAATAACATAACGTTTTGATAAAACAAACTGAAAAGTTAGCTGAAATATATAAAATAACATAAAAGAAACATAAAAAAATGTGTTTCTATAATTAACTAAGGGTATATTTGAAAAAAAAATCTAAAAAACTAGTTTATGTAGTTTTTTAAAAAGCTAGCTTATAAACTATTTTTTGGTTTGTTAAACATGACAACTTAAAAAAGTCGAAAAATAAGTTAGTTTATCAATATGTTTATGGATGGAATTTTCTAGAAAATTGTAATATCATATTCATCAAGCTATATACTTGTTAAATTAAGTATATTATCCCTATTTGATTATTATATATTTCAACATATATTTCAACATGTAGGTTACCCATTGAGGAAGTTAGAGAAATTATGGTTGAATATAATACTGCCATCCGGCAAAAGAAACAAGAAAGAAAACAAGAACGTCTGTCTGCCAAACTTATTCAAGCTCTTTTTTCCGCTGATGAGAGTGATAATGTTCAAAGCATTGATAATCAGGTCAAGAAAATCTACAATAATAATGTGGAGAAACAACACATTGTTTCAGGTCTGAATGACCAGATTGATAGGAAGAAGTTTGGAGATGTTCTTACTCGCAAGTCAAAGCCTGATCCCATTGTCAAGGTGAGATGCACCAAACCAAGAAACAAGTCTCTGAAGCTTCACTTGGTTATAAAGAAAACAAAATATGAATATACTGAAGTTGCTTTTGCTTGTGAGCTAGTCAAATTGGCTACTGTAAGTGGATGAAAATTCAAGAAATTATCGACAAACACAAGGGTATTTATACTCAGGAAGAGATGCTGGCAATTCAACAGCTACTTAAAAAAGTCAAGAAGTTGAACCTTGTGCCATTAGTTGGTTCATCGTCAGTTAGTCAATCAAGACCATCCTCCCCAGGCTAAACAAGTGCTCCCAGACAATCCAAAAATACCAAGTTTCTTCTTCCTTATAGAACTCGGTATATCAATAATGAATTACCAGCGGGTGTTAAACCAATCCAATATATATTCATTGCAGAACCAAAGCATGGGATATTTTATCTTGACAGTTAGAATCATATGTGCTTTCAATGCACTGATGACCTTCCTTCAGCCCTTACTGAACATTTGTTTCATCTTCGCTTGGAAGGACTAGGTCAGTATGAACTGGAAAGAGGATATCGTGTGTTGATATCACTGGAGCTTAGTAGAAGACTGGATGAACTTAAACTTAATCCATTCAGATGAGTCAAGCTAGAAATCTTAAAAGAAGCCGACAAGTTCTACAATGGCTCTTCCGATGACTCTGAAGAAGAAGATTAGTTTTGACATCATCAGCTAGGTATTGTAAGGTCACACCTTATGATTTGATGATTCAAACACTCTACACTATCTGTCAGCGTCAACATCAACTACATCGACAACGCCCGCTTATCAAGCTTATCAGCGTCAACGTATAGCGTGATATAGATAAGTATAAAATAGATCACATAGCTGGTATCTTTGTGATAAGATCGGTTCTTAGTGTAGATTAGATATAATCCTTTGAATCATGGTATTTATATGTATAGATTAGTATATATACAACATTAGCGAAAACCCTAATGTTGTACAACAGGGCTTGGTGTCGTAATCGTCTTTGTGACTAACCGCCTTCTTGGTGAAGACAAAACTCTTTATTGGTTAAAGAACAATTTGGAGAACTCTCTGTGTCATTTAATTTCTGTTCTTTATTTTCTTTGATTAAGTTTCTCTTTCGTCTTTATACTTGAAGTGTATCTGATCGATACAAACCTTCAAATTCGTTTGTTTATTCGTTCATGTTTGTTCATTTGTTCGACTAACTTAAACAAACAAATATGAACATTCCCCGGTTCCTCTTCGTTCGATTCATTTACAGCCCTAAGTTTATTTATTGTGTGGCTTACTGATTTTTTCTAAAAAAGATTATTATCCTCCTATTTGATCGGTAAAATAATCAAAATTATAATTGCAAAATAGTATTATCATTTTAAGAAAAACATATGACTTCTAAGCCCATCTGGTATGGCACCACGGCCTTGGCCATGGGAGATTATGTTGTGGTAAGGGTGTGCAATTAAATACCCTTAATTTTTTTCTCATATTTGTATATTTTGTTTCCGAAAAAAATATTATGTATCACATATCGATGATGCATACCTTTGTTTTAATATTCATACCCCGAAAAAAGAGTGGTCGGTAACCCTTTTCTTTGTTTTATAATTTTGAAATTCTAAGGAAATAATAACGGAATATCACTCAAAATTTTAGAGGGAAATGAGATTACTTACAAAATAATAATAATAATAATAATAATAATAATAATAATAACAACATTGATAACTTATAATATGCTAAAGCCAAGAAAATATGATTATCTAAATCTTGAAAATTCAAAATCTAATACATCTTTAAATTTTATTTGAATATAAAAATAACTAACCAATTTGAATTAAAACCAATACCAAAAGTTAGAGAGTCTAATTTCTAAATCTCAATAGATGGAACCAAAGAAACCCTAGTTACCGATGAATGCTTTGCTGAATCGCTACCGTTCTATATGCTCGTCTCATCCTCGCCGCCAATTTCTGTCTCACAGTCTTGCCACTGCATGTAACCGTTGCCGACATTCATTCCCCTTTGATGGATACTAGACTCTCAGGCTCTCGGTATGTATGTATGTACTCGATAACTTTCTTTCTCTTACGATTCCACATTTTCCACTGTCTTCAGATGATCATTTTCTTTAAACTAGATGATCCTTTTCTTTAAACCATATTGAATATTTTAAATTGGAAATATAAATTTCAAGCTAATTCCCCCCTCCCCCCCCCCCACCCCCAGCCCCACCCCCCCTTTTTTTGTTATATCACAGCAAAAAACTCTCCTTGATTGTTGTATGTTTTGTTTTTATGTATCACCGTATATCAAGTAACTAGTTGTGAGACCCGTATGTTATACGAGTTGGATAAAACAAAATTTTATTTAAAATTGAAATTTTAGATTTGAAATTTAAAATTTATAAGGAAACATATTAAATACAATATATGAGTAGTAATATTGTAATTTAATGACTATTTTCAATTAAGACAATCATTAATTAATGTGTAAATATGATGTGTTAATTAAGAAAAGATAAAAAATGAGAAAATGACACATGGAAAAAACATTTATTAAAAAATATCAGAAAATGACATGTGTCCAAGTTAATGAGAGAGTGACATTTGGCAAAAAAATATTTATTTATTAGAGTAGAAGAAAATATGTAAATGTTAATATACTATTTTTATTTAAAAGAATCATGGAAGGTAATAATGTTTCTAATATAGTTATATAAATTAGCTTACTGATTTTATTAAAATTTTACAATTTTGTTTAGGTCATGTAAATACATGTTATAAGTTGGTTATTAATATTAGGATTACTAATCTATCGTGTTTGGTTTTTAAGGTTGTTAATTTTGTTAGAAAAAATCTAAGAATTTTTTAAAGGAAATTATCAAAATAAGGTAGTAATATTTATAACTAATGTCCTGTTTGATAGTTTTTGTTTGAGAAAGTGTTGTATGATAAAGTTTTATGATTGAGAAAGAAACCAGACTGTTTGATTGTATATCTGACTGGCTGTGCTGAATGATGAAAATGACAATATTACCTTGTTGTTTTATACTGTGATGGATGAAATTGTTGGATAATTATAAAAACATACAAATTGTGATAAAAAATCAAAATTACACAATAATCATTTAAAAATCCAAATACAACTTGTCATACAAAGTAATTAAACACATATCAATTAAAATTCAAAAAGAATGTCGATTATGTTGTTTTTAGTTTATTGTTTTTCAAGTTGATGTTACTTTGTTATTTTATAACCCATGTGTGATTCTTGACCCGATTTATGTCTGATAGTGGTGGGATGGATGAGATTTTTTTAAAATATATTAGGATGGTGGTGGTGTTGTAAAAAAAAGAATTAATCCAATAAAAATGAATTACAAAAATTAGTTCAAAGAAACTAATAATACAATAAAACAATATTTATTAATATATAAATATTATATATTATAAATAATATTTATTAATATATAATAGTCCAGTAAAAAGTAATAATCTAATAAAAAAAATTAAAAAATATATTTGAAAAAAAATAATTATCCAAAAAAGAAAGAAGCGAGATTTGGGGCGCAATGGTCTTTCCAACCCATTAAGCCAGAAATATATTATTTTGTGGCTTTTTGGAAAAACATATATTACCAGAAAAGACACAAGTTTTTGTGCAAATCAAACAGCTTTTCCGACCCATTCAGCTAGAAAGATCTATCTGGATTTGGAAAAATGTCTATCAATCGGGGCCTAAGTTATTTTCATTTCATGACATCATATTGTTTAATAAATTATTTTAACAAATAGTATAGTTAAAAAATAATGCATTATTTTTTCTAGATCTGCCACTGGCTATGGTTGTAATTTCTTTTCGCTTGAGTTCCAACTCCTTCCACATCACAACCATTTTCTTCCACACCAATTTTCATAAACATACCATGAACCATGAACCATTTTGCAGGAAGAAGAGATTGTAGGAAAAAAAAATTAAAAAAAGATGATTGCTCGTCCTCAATAATATTTGTGGTGGTAACCACATTCCACAACGCCACAACCATCACGACGCACACATAATGGTATGCACGGTCGTTGTGGCTTGCCATTGTGGCAACGGAACCTCTTCGTTGTTGATATAACGGACGGTCTAATTAATCAATGAGCTTGTTTATTATTATTGTTGCTACATAAACATCATTAGAAATTTTGAATAAAAAGAAAAAAATATATTAAATAAAACGGATAACTCAAACTAAAAAGTTAATTGTACAAGTATAAAAACCTTATATTTTAGGAAAAACTACAAAAAAAAAATTCTTACATATTGGTCTCATAATCGATTTAGTACTTATATATATATATATATATATATATATATATATATAATTCAATTAAGTCCCAAAAACTGGTAATCGTATTCAATTTGACCATTTTACCAAGCCTACTGGTCATCTAACTTTTAAACATTACACTTTTGGCCCAAATTTCAATTTTTTTACAAATTCGGTCCAAAATTTACACTTTTGGCCCAATTTTTAAATTTTGTTATAAATTTGGTCTAAAGTTTACCCTTTTGGCCCAAATTTCAGAATTTTGTTATGAATACATCCTAAATTTAGTTTTTTTCTAAAACATTTTTTCTCAAAAAAAAAAAAATTCAAATATATTTTTTCTTTATAAAATCATATTTATACAAAAAAAACATATTTGCACATAAAAAATCTTCATTACAAGAAAAACTCAGTTTTGCTAGGGAAGGAATCCGTTGCGAAAACCTGAAATTCCGTTGCAAAAGATGAATAGCGATGGAATTTGCGACGACCAATTTTCGTCCCAAAAAACCCCGTAGCGAGGGTTTGCTAGGGAAACAATCATTCTGTCACAAATGCGACAACGAAATGAAATCCGTTGTAGATGGTATTTTGTCGTGTATTCCGCTGTAGGATTCAATCACAAATTTCGTGGTTGTTATTCCATAACAAATTCCATTGTAGTTAATCCCTAGCAAAATCCGTGCTGATGAATCTCTAGCAAATTTCATGGTGATGAATCACTAACAAAATCCGTAGTGATGATTCCCTGGCTAAATCTGTAGGCTTGGTTCCATAACTAAATCCATGGTGTAGGAATATTTCCCTAGCAAAATCCAATGCAGTAATCTAGCAAATTTTATAGGAATATTTCCGTTGCAAGCTAAATAGTTACAAATGGATAATTAATTTATCAATTAATTCCTAATTATTTTGTACGAATATATAAAAAAATATCAAATAATCAAAAATGATTTATATCATTAATAAAACAACAAATATTTATAACAAGGAAATGAAATGTAACCTAATTTTAAATAAATAGTTTGCTAGAAACAAGCCAACACTTTATGATCTATTACTGCTTTTAGAGATCTTTAAAAGTGTTAATAACAGTCATTGCTGATTGTAGTTGTCGTTCAAGCTGTTTGATTCTTGTGTTATGTTATTCATCTTTGGCCTTCATTATTTCCTTCAGTTATTCGTTTTGCTCTTTTTGTTTAGTAACATGCTCCCTCAATTCTTCCAATTCAACATTTTTGTCCGCAAATAAGCCACATCTGTATAGTCTGAGAATTTTTCTTATCTTGATGTTTGGCTAGCCATATGTCCACAAATCATAGTTTTCTTTTCGGATATCTAGTTTAGAGTTTCAAGGAGAGAAAGAGAGAGAGAGGTTTTTGGAGGTGGCGACTATTGCAGTGGTGGTGTGATTTTGTGATGAGGGATGCAGTTCTGTAAAAAATAATTAACATAATTTGAAATTAAAAAACGGAATAAATCGAAAGTTCATTGTGACCGATTGCTAACCTCATTTGGATTATGACTTTCTTCTCAAACCTCTACAACAATGCATCAATATTGATATTTCTGCTAACATTAGGATCTTTTTAATGCCAACAAGTCAATGTTCTTTGCTATGATTAATCCAATGAGTGTGCCTTGATCTTATTATTGTTTGTAGTTGAACTGTTTCACCTATATAATTTCCTCCACACGCTTGTATCGCCAAAGTTGTAAACTACAACAGGATATCAAGATCAATGAGGTTGTATTTCAAAAACTAATAAAATAATTTAGGAAACCAATTAAAGATTTTGCATACTATTCAACTCCCAATTCCATTATACCTTCTCCCTTTCTCTATCAGAACTCAGAAAGCAGCAAAAGCAAAGACATGCAACCATTTTGACATAATGAATGACATCTCAATCTTATTTGTTTAATTCCCATAGAACACCATTTCAATCCGCTGCAATAAGTAATGGCATACATTCTCATTATAAATTATAACAATAATTTTTTCAAGAAAACAATGAATAATATTAAAGTAGTAGTTCAACAAGAACTGAAAAGTAACTACCTTTAACTTTCTTGTCAATCCAGATTTAATTCAGCATCCCAGCTCTAATGCCACCAATAATGCACAAACATAAAATGTGATGTTAGTTAACATGGATCTCACATTGCATCCTTACTGCCTTTAGTCCCCATAATAGCTCAATAGGATGTCAAATTTCCATTCAATCATGTTATAGTCACCAACAATAAGAACTTAACAGGCTAATTACAAGTCATAAATTTCATTATTTCACATTCACTGCTCAAAGTCTCATTTACATCATACATCATCGTAAACCTACAACATATTGACGCAATATCACAATATTCACATATGAAAAGAAAATCAGAAATAGAAAATCAAACCACTTTGGGCTTGTTAAGAGAAATCTGAAAAAAAAACACTTTGGGTTTGATTTCCCTTTCGATTAACAATCATTCTATCAAAATTCGCATATGACAACACACAAAGAAAATCAAAAACTGAAAATTAAAGTCTAAAACTTGGGGTCTGATATAGTCATATAGATTCATCGATTTGTAGATTAAAAAGAGAGGAAATTAGAAAATTGATAAGAAAATTAATAGAAATCGGAAAATTGATAATACTCTAAAATCAGAAAACCTGATTTCCTATTCTTACCGGATGTATTGTTTGATGCCTTCTAAGATTTCGATGATGGCTCAATCGAATCTCGACTTATTGGAAGTTTGAACCGATTGCAGAAAAGAATCAAAGAATTAAAAGTAAAAACCTTTGAATGATCGATGTTATTGAATAGTGAATATAACAACATTTTGGGAGTGCCGAATGCAAAGTTGTGATGTTGAATGGTTTTCCTTTATTATTGGGGGACAACCAGAGAGGAGGGATGGTTTAATGGAGGACGACATTAAAACTGAAAAATCGACTCCCCCACTTTGAACGAATCAGCATACAGGCAAGAAATCATGCGTCCTTTTTTCTTCCTGATTTCCTTGTAGTTCAGTTTAATCGGACCTCAAGAGTTCAGAAAATTCATACATGGGCTTCCTAGGTTTCGTTGTATTAGTTTTTTTTTAATGTGGGGATCATGAAATTTTTTGGAGGGATACTAAAATTGAGAGGCGGGACTTTTAAAATAATTAGAAAATAAATTATTTTTTCAATTATAATTGTATTTAAAGTAATATATGAAAAAAAAACATTGTTATTTTTTATATTAAGATTTTTTATCCAACAACTTATAAAAGTCACGGTTTTAAACTTATATAAAAAAATAATATCATTATCACAAAAATAAATATGATACTTCTTGTAAATATGATATTTCTTGTAAAAACGAATTTTCATATTTTGTGTTATTAAATAAGTCATATCCGATAAGGTGGGTGCGGAAGGGGCGTATGTGAGTAAGGATGTTAGGGCGTGGTATTGTAAGTGTGAGGTGGAGTAGGCATAGGTATATGGGTGTGAAGTGAATTGGTATATTTGTGATGTAAGGGTGAGGTGGAGTAGGCATCGGCGCGGGTGTAGGCTTATAGGAATGGGTAGATTGGTGAGTATGTGTGGGGTGTAGGGTATGGTGGAAGTGGCTTAGGGGGGCGTGGGCTTGTAGGAACAATTCTTAAGTTCTAAGCCCAGAGTCAAAAGCCTTACACACCATATTGTTTAAGCCCTAAGCTATAAGTCGTAATACATAAGCCTTAAGCATTAAGCCAAAAGCCATATATAAGCTATAAGCCATAAGTCATAAGGTAGAAGCCTTAAGCCCTAAGCCCTACACCACAAGTCCTAAACCATAAGCAATGATCCCTAAGCTACAAGCCATAATCTATAAGCCTTAAGCACCAAGCCATAAGTCATTAGCCTTCATCCCTAAACCATAAGCCCTAATCCCTAAGCATAAGCCAATGCCTAAGTCATAATTCACAACTCATAAGACATTACGCCTAAGTCCCAAGCTAACCATAAGTAATAAGTCATAAGCCATAAGCCTCAACCCCTACCTATTAAGCCATACATAATAACCATAAGCCAGAAGCCATAAGCTATAAGCCTTAAACCTTAAGCCATAAGCCATAAGACATGTAAAATAATTCATTAGTCATAAGCCCTAATCCATAAGGCATAAGCCTAAATCTTGCTATAAGCCCAAGCCATAAGCCTTTAAGGCCTAAGTCATAAACTATAATCCATAAGACCTAAATCATAATCCATAAGCCATACTTCATGAGCTATAAACCATAAACCATAAACCCATAGCGATGATATATAATAAGCCTTAAGTCTTGAGCCATACTCTTTAAGCCATAAACCCTAAGCTATAAGCCAAAATTCCTAAGTCATACATCATAAGCAATAATAAATAAGCTATAAATCATAAGTCATAATCCATATTCCATAAGCCACACGACAAAATTCACAATCCATATGCCTAAACCCTAAGTCATAAGACATGAGCCTTTATAAACCCTAAGTCATAAAACCTAAGCCTAAAGTCATACATCATAAGCTATTAGACATAAACCATAAGCATTAAGTGAAAAACCTAAGCTTAAAGCCTTAATCCATAGGTCTTAATCCCTAAGCCATAAGTCATGAGAAAAAAGTCTTAAGCCCTTAGTCATACATATCAAACCATAAGTCATAAGCCCTAAGTCCTAAGACCTAATACCTAAACCAAAAGTCACAAGCCTTAAACCCTAAGCCCCAAGCCATAAGTCTTAATCCATAAAAATGACATATAAGCCATAAGCCACAAGGCATAAGCATAAGCCATAAGCAATCTATTATAAACCATAATCCATAAACATTATACCTTAAGCCAAAATTCATGATCTATAAGGCATGTGCCCTAAGTCATAAGGCATAAGTGTTAAAAACTAGATTGTAAAACTTAAACGGGTCATCCATAGACCATGAGACCAAGAACTTAGCCATACACACCATGCCTTAGTGATCCATAGATGCTAAGCCCTAAGTCACAAGGCATAAGTGTTAAAAACTAGATTGTAAAACTTAAACCTTAAACCTACATGGGTCATTCATAGACCATGAGACCTAATCCTTAAGCCATGCACCATAATTATTGAGCCTAAAGCCTCAATCCCTTGACCTTAAACCATAAACCATAAGGCACGCGCCCTAAGCCCTAAACCCGATCCTTTAGACATGAGCCATATGCCCTAAGCCATAAGCCATACTCATTAAGCTAAAAATCATAAGTCATAAATCATAATCCATAAGCCATAACCTATAATCCACAAGCCATACGACATATGCCCTAAGCCCTAACCATAATCCCTAAGATTTAAGTTATAAACCATAAGCCATAGGTCATAAACCCCAAGCCAAAAGCCCAAGGACATACCCCATAAGCCTTAAGCCCTAAAATATATGGCATAAGTCATAAGACCTAATAACTAAGCGCTAATCCACAGGGAATAAGCTTAAGCCACAATCAATAAGCAATAATCCTTAAGACATAATGTCATAAGCCATAATCCCTAAGCTATAAATCATAAATATTAAGTCATAAGCCATAAGCCCTAAACCCTAAGGTATCCATAAGTCATAAGTCACAAGCCGTAAGGCCTTATGCCACAAGCCACATATCATAAGCCAAACCCGAACCAGAACCGATTGAAACTAGAACAGGGTGTTATATATATATAGATATATATATATATATATATATATATATATATATATATATATATATTATATATATATAATATATATATATATGTAAATTCCTTCTAAATCAAAAACTTAATTTGAAATCAAAATAGTTTAATCTCCCCCGTATTATTTTGATTTTATTCATCTAAATTTTGATTGATTTGGATTTCCCCCCATACGATCCGTCCCAAGTTTATATTAAAACAAATTCCCATCCTCGTAGAATTCGATTTTTCCCCCTCAAACTTGGTCTAGGGCTCGTATAACTCACTCTAACTTTTCCGATATCAACAACTCTACTCTCTATCATGTGTCTTTCTCACTACCCATTTTATCTCTCTCCCTGCTCAGTAAGTTTTCACCACCTAAGCGATTATGGCTCTCGTCTATCTTAACTCTCGGAAAACTACAATAGGTGTCAAGAGGTGGATGTCACTTCTCTACTCTCCAGTTTCGTGTTATTTTTTTCACTCGAATCTCTCTCCCACCTTCCTTAAACATATAGGACTACCTTGACTTCAAAACCGTTAAGGATAACGTATTCAATGTTAAAATTATACCACTGCAAAGCGGACTCGTAAGGCTTCCCTCTCAAATCACGCCTTCATCTTCTTCACGTATCTCTTCTTCTTCTTCTTCAGATCGCACCTTTATATTCCTTATTTGATACTTGTCTTATTTATTGACTCCTTAAATCAGTCCATTTCATTAATAAATTGAATAATAATATTGGATGATCAACTATGTGTCCCTGTAGCAACCTTAATAGTTATTTTCTTTCTTTCTGTTAAATCATGATGGGTATGTTTTGCTTTGTTGCTTTATTTCTTGTTATCAAACTTTAACAAGTTTCAGTTCATTAGTGTAACACCCCGACTCCCAGGTATAAATTTTACAGTTTTATATTTAGTGTAACTCGTCGTGTAGAAATGGATATGGCCGCGTGACTTAAGGGAACTACTCGACGGGTTGGAGTACCCAACTCGACGGGTTGGAGCTGGAATGTGAAACCCTAATTTCCAGGGTTTTGCACCCTACTTAAAGGCTCACTAGCCACCCCCTTCCTCTCTTATCGCCTCCCTTGACCTCAGAAAACCCTAACCGTGTAAACTCCCCATTGTGTGTGTAAAGGCTTGGAAGGTGGTTTAGTGCAATGAACTTGAAGACTCAAGAGCTTGGATCAAGGAGAAGCTTGTGCATCCAGTACCTACTCTATTTTGGCTTCCATTTGAAGGTAAAAAGTTGTTACCTTGATCATTCTAGTGTTAGATCTCCTCATTCAAGGGTTTAAAGCCATTTCTAGCATGTTTATGGGTCATTTATAGTATTGAGCATGATCTGAAGTTGTAACTACAGATCTGGGCTCCTTTAAGCCCTCATAGTCATAAAGTTATCGAATTTATCATGCTTTGGCCCTCCTCTTTGGCTTAAACTTCTTCCTTAGCTTGGTTTTGACATTTAAGGCCTTGCATATACGTAAAGTTTGCAACTTTATGTGGTAACCATGCCCTAAGAGGCTAGATCTACAATTTGGAGCCTTGGTCTAGCTTAAATGCGTCTGAAATAGAAAAGGATTAAAGGGAATCGACGAGTTACATGATCAATTCGACGAGTCAGATGAAGATTTCTTGTTTTTGGTTCTGCATGGGCTCAACGAGTCAGTAAGATGACTCGACGAGTTGGTTAGGGTTTACCCGTCGTTTGGACACTACATGAACTCGACGAGTTGTTGGGAAACTCGGCGAGTTGTCTCGGGATTTTGGTCTCTGAGTTCTAAAGGATCTCGACGAGTTGCTAGATACACTTAACAAGTTGCTAGATGCACTCGACGAGTTGGGTCAGCAAGGACTGTTGACTTGGACTGTTGACTTTGACCAAGGTTGACCAAGTTTGACTCTAAGGGTATTATGGTAATTTGGGTCTTGATAGAATTGGTCCTATGATGATTGTAGGTGTTTGAGTTTGGAGCTGTGTTGGGGAGCTTGACATCATCATCCAATGTTACTCGTGAGGTAAGTTTTCCTCACTATACTGAAGGGTCTAAGGCACCAAGGCCGACCCTTTGGATTGTTATCTTGTTGTGTTACTGTTATGGTCTGTTTGATCGGTATCCTAGTAGATAGGATGTTTCTATGTGATTATGATATGTTAGATCGGTATCCAGGTAGATAGGATGTTGCTATGCTTAGTGATCTGTAGATCGGCTTGACTGTCTGTAGACTGTTATGTGGTTATTTGATATGTGTGCACATGTTTGATTGGTGGTTAAGGCATCTGCTTGAGCATGAGCCAACAGACCTGGGCATTCCAACCCGATCGTTGTGGGCCAAGAGTATTCCATCCCGAGAATGATTGGAC